GCTTAAGGGGATTCAACATCGACGTTTAAAAGAAAAAAACGCTCCAGAGATGGCGTTGTTTACTGTTCGACAGTCCCCACTCTTAAAACAAAATCGCTGGTACTATCGCGGTCGGCAAACAGTTCCTAATAATTTCTGGAGCGTCACGTCATTCTATAATCGGCAACCGTGTTGTCGTTTATATTACTTTTACATTACACGTATATTCTACACATGCATGACTGTACTAGTTTGTATACTTATACTTATACTTATAATACTGCATATTTACGTTTTCTAATAGTGTTACACATATCACATTTAAAAACAAAAGTGGATTTAAAACCATATTTAATTTCTTTAATAATTCGCATATCTTTAAAACTGCAGTCAAAAGGTTTATGACTATCAATCAATTTAATTGCATTAAATAAATGCGAAATATTCACAATTCTTCCGAGTATATCTGCATCTGTATTTAAATTTTCTTTTAAAAGAGAGGTTGAAATATTTAAATCTGAAGGTTGAGATATATCGTCAAGTGGTAAAGCTAATATTTCATCTTCTTTAGAATCCAAACAAGTAACTTTTCCGTGCATATGTGGTTGAAAGGGAATACTTCCATATCAAAAAAAAAAAAAAAAAAAAAAATATGTATATTATTATTAATATAATAAGAAATTATTCACCACAAATATAATAAATGTATTCAAAATATTTCCAATTATCGTATGTATACAATATAATAATATACTTTAAAAGTTTCAAGTACCCACGGGCCACAAATCATATTTTTAAATTACAACAAAATGGTACTTTCGGGTTATATCGACAACTGAAATATTTTCTACATTACTTGGTATAGACTTCCGGGTTATCTCGATTAACACAATTTTTAAATAAAAAAGTATAATGTTATATATTATAACATGGGCGGATAGGCTTACCGGGAAACCGGGCATTTCCCGGTGGGCCCTCCTTCATATTTTTGTAATGGGGCCCTTTATTATGTAATTACTTACGTTAGAAATTTGAATTTGAATTTTGTCTTTCTTACTTTGTCTGTAGTTTTCATCAACGCAGATATATTTCCCGGGTGCTTTTTACGTCTAGATAAAAGCACCTTTGTTTTTTTACCTTTCCTCCAATTTTTTAAATTATCCATTATAAATTATAATTCGAAAATAAAATTTCACCATGCAGTTGAGGAATGAAATTTCAAGTTCATACCTCGATGAGTAATGACAGAAATACTAGTTATATTATTATATTATTAGTTATAGTATTTGTACTATACAATTACAATAGGTATTATAGCCATAGCCGGTTTCCATACAGCCGTAGAAGATAATATTGGTATTATTATTATTATGATTCTAAAAATATTATATTATCGATACCGCAGGCGCCACACTAGTCTTAGTTGTGAAGTAGTGTGAGAGTGGTGGGGAGTAGCGCGAAATGTGACGCACGTACAGTAGTTTCAATCCGCAACGTCATTAAAACGGTGTTTTTCATAAATTAATTATTGTTTCCGGTCTCAAAAGGCTCATAAGCAGTATACAACTGTGGGATTTTGAATAATCGAATTTAAAATCTGTAAAAAGATTTAAATTTGCCGGTCTGTCTACTGGGGATTGATCGAACAGTTTTTTTAAATGATTAAAAATCTATTTATTATCAACGTTTAAAATTACAGATTTGTAATATTTAATTACTAGGCCAGTAATGAATTTAAAAAAAATCGCCTCGATCGATCTCTAGAAGACAAATTGACAATTTCAAAACTTTTTTCAGAGTCAAAATCCGACCTTCCTAACTTCTACAGTTTTATACCGCGTTAGGGTTGATATTTATATCAATGTTGAATCCCCTTAATATTTCGTGAATATGATAAAAAAAACCGGGTAATAAACTGAATAATTGTATTTGACTATATTGTACTGTATTGTCAGCTATATGTTATTTATTTTTATCATAAAAACAATAAAATAATATCTTTAATATGATGATCTTTAATATTTTTTTCGTCAAAACTTTTTGCATAAAAAATGTATTTTATAAAAAAAAAATTTAAAAAATTTGAATTTTGAGTACACATTAGTACATTAGTACACATTGTGTAAAAAATAATGAAAATATAATTTTTGTTGAAACTTCTATTTAGTATTCTATTTCATTATTTGAAAAAGTATTAATATTTTCAATAGGTTTATAGTATGGATTTGTTTAACATGCTAAATTATAATTTTTTATGGCTTCGATTTTATGTACATTATTTTATATAATTTATTTTGGTTGCACCATTGGTTTTGAGCTATATCCAAAAAAATACCTAAAAAGCATATTTTTCGGGTACAGATATATTTATATTTTAGTATGACTGTGATCTTTTAGAATATTTAATTTGAAGTAGTTAATATAACTATATTCTTGATTATTACTTGGTTATACAAAAGGTTGAAATTTTTTGTTACTCTACTTGTGAATTTAGTTACATTTTTAATGAATTTGGAACTAGTGATTTTGGTTTAAAAATATGTCAATTTAACATAATTCATCAGTGATTTAAAAATGTTGCTCGTAATTAACTGATTATAGTAATGTATTTATAATCAATTAAACATCAAAGTGAAAATTGAAAATTTTTCAACAGATTAGCAAAAAATTTCATGAAATATAAAGTATACATATTTAGTATTGTACTATATAAAAATGTGTAAATATTTTGAGCCTTTTATTTAATCAGCATGGTTGTATAACGATGCCAAAAGAAGAGCAATATTCACATTTTTCTATGACAGAGTTTCTTAAACTTTTTTATTTGTGGAACCCTTTTTGATGTCCACATTTATCGTGGAACCCCTACTTTTTTTTAGCTTTTTTTAGGATTTTTTGTAAATAAATTATAATCATATAATATTGTGTTAAAGGTATTTAATTCAAAAAATATTTTAAAATTAAAATTAAAATAATTAAAAAATATCTATATATATTATAATAATACTTTAATAATAATTACTTTAATTAGACTAAATATAAGGACGCACCGTAGCTCCGCGCGAATAAAATTGTTTTGTAAATCCACAACTCCGCATGCATAATTCGGCACGGTTAAAAAAATTAAAGTACCGTAGCTCCGCATTCTAAAAATATTTTTAATACCGAAAATCCGCATAGCATAAAACTATGTTTTGAAAATTACTTTAAAAATGACCAACCCAAGATTCACGAATTAAAAAAATGATCACTTACTTAGACAAAACATACATAAAAAAACGATGCAATATTTCCACACAGTATTTGGGCCAAAAAAGAAGCAATACTGGAGAGAACAATAAACAACTATGAGTCTTTTCATGCAAATTTTGGTAATTTATTTACTTCTGTACCTACATCTAAATATTGCAGTTTTCATTAAAAACTTATTAGCTATGCAGACGGATTCTTACATACGAATGAATTCTGCTAATAATAATGAAGTAGGATAGTTAGAACTAAACAAAAAACCAATATGGAATTTATAAATAAAAACATAGAATTATATAACGATGGCTAATTGATAGAATACCGATTGTTTTTTTAAATTATGTACAAAAATATATACAAAAATGATGTGCGGAGTTAGGGTGTTAAAAAAAAATTATGTGCGGAATTAAGGTGTAAAAAAAACTTTGTATACGGAGTTTATGTGATATATTACAAAATGGTAACAATGCATGCGCAGTGATGTGCACCGAAATATAAATGTAGACTATTCCATATCGCTTATACATGTTATTTAATATACAAAGATTTTTTTTTTTTTTCTATAATGCAAACAGTTTTTCAACATTGCTAATCTTAAGTTGGAAATTTTAAAGTAATTTTCTTAAAATTTTTTAAAAAATTACTTAAGCTTCACGGAACCCCAAGGTTCCACGGAACACAGTTTAAGAAACGCTTTTCTATGAATTGGCTATTTCAAAAATATTTTACTTTCATAAGAATGCTTAAAACATATACAGTAGAACCTGTTTAAGACAACTAATTTCCAATGTAATACGTTAATTTTTAAGAGTCCCTTGATTTTGACAACATTCAACATGTAATTAACTCCAGATAATATGCACTCTGTTCCTAGATAAGACACTCTCATTTTCAATAATGTTAATATAAAAATTTAAAATTTGAAGAAATACCTCACTTATAACAATGATAACTAAAATAGCAAACATTTTCAAGAACTGGAGGAGTTTCCAAGATATGCATAAATTGACTAGGATGTTACTACGAATGACACTAGAAGCATTGATCAGATAATTACTGATAAAATGTCATCAACTAATGTAACTTCTATAGAGGAAGGAAGTAAGGAAGAATAGTTTATTAACAATTCTCATGGTAACAAATGTACTTGATCATATTAATGAACTAAGAAAATAAATTGCCTATTTTGACTATACTGACGAAACATTACATAATTTCAATCAAATTGAAAATGTCCTCTAATCTAAAAATATTAAAAAATGTGTTTATACGCAAAAAATTGATGATTTTTTGAAGTAGGTAATATGTAATATAAATTTAAAAATATACATTATACAATATATCATTTTTTTTCGTCCTACATAATATGATTTCCAATTTAATACAATATTTTTAACTGATCCATAGAAGAGCGTCTTAAACAGGTTCTATTATACTTTAATCCATGAAGACAATATCAAGATATAATTTACTTCAAATCAATAATATCAATGTGTGATGGAATGATATAAATATTATATGTATTTATTAACCAATATTATTCAAGAAATATAATGGGTTTTCATCTAAATTATAGTAGAGATGTTTTCAATGTAAAAATTGTATTTTATAATATTATGTTTGTTATCAAAACTACATTATTATATTTACTTATATTATTTGTATGTTATTTTTATATATATTGTAAGGTCCTAGAAAAAAAAATTGTTGATTATTTTTTAATTTAATTTTAAAATTATTATTAAATTAAAAATGTTGTTATTTAATAAATGTTTAAGCTGTTTATTTAAATATAAATATTTCTTTTACTATTTGTAGGCACCTTCAATTTTATCCCGAGAAGAACAATTGTTATCTACAATTGTTCATTTAGACAATGGTACAACTGGATATTTAATAACTTTAAATAAAACATCAGGAACATGGTCATGTCATGCTTGTTATCCATTCAAAGTTCCGTCTTTGTCATTGCTCGAAGAGCATTTAACCAGCAAAATGCATTTATTAGAAATGGGAAAATCTTGTTTTCCAGCAAAAAACTTTATCAAAGCATGTAAATTATTTTATTTTGTTTTCTACAATTTTTTAATGTGTTTCATGTGTTTTTAATATAAATGGTATTTGTAACATTAAAATAGCTGGAATAAGTGTTGGTTTACCTTCAATGATATCCGGTGAACCAATACCTCCGGGAATGGAAGATGAAGTAGAAAATGTGTTAGCGCGTATTCAAGCTACATTGGATTCAATTTTTATTCCATTAATAGGCATTGAATTTATTCTTGAATTATTACCATCTGATTCTTCTGAAGAACCTAGGTATATGTGTGCACTATGTGATAAACGAGGTGATCCAAGAACTTTCCCTAATCATTTACGTAGCTTTAATCATCACATGGCCTATTTGGTTTGTATTATATTTTATAAATGATTTGTCATAACATACAATTCATTTCTTAAGTTGTACACATTTTAGCGAAGATATTTTAGATCGTTAGCCAGTGCACTGGAACAATTAAATAAAGTATCCTCAAAAGGATTTCAAGAATTAGTATTTCATGTTATTGGAAAAATAGAAGAAACATATGGTCGAATGAAACCAATAGTGGTTGATGCAAGTGTATTTGATTTGCCTACTGAAAAAATAAAAATTTTAAGACAAGTAAATAATGGAAAACACATTATGTAAGTATTTTTTATTTAATTAAAACTTATTTTTTTGTTTGTATTGGTTTTCAATTAATTATTAATATACAGAAATTAGGTATATAGATAATTTTAAATGTAAATAATTATCAATTTATTATTTTAGAAATAGTAAACCTGCTAAGAAAAATTAAATACGTTTATAAATTTAGTACAAAAACTAAAAATAAACCCACGTTTTATTTGATAAGATCATCTAGAGTCAAAGCATTTTAAAAACCTAATAAATTATGGGTTAAGAAAATATTTTTTTAATGTATAAAATTCTTAAAATTAATTTTATAGGTTACAGCATATTCATTGTTACATTTGGAAAACATAGTATATATGTTGGAATTTAATTTCATGTTAATGTGTCCGTGAAATAAGTTACTATTTATTAGTTATTAACTTGATTTAAAGAATATTTTGTAGTCATTAGTCAAATTGCTATAAACATGATATTTTGTATATTATCTACTTAAAATAAACTATTATATGATATATAATACAGTATATATATATTTATATATACTGTGAAGTCATTTTAAATCTTAAGTTTTGGTTAGCTAAGCAAATTTTTGCCTCAGTAATAAAATATTCAATTATACTATTACATTTATTTAATTTTTTTTTTAAATATTAAGTTTTATTTTATTTAAATGTAAATAGTTTTTCGCTCTATATACTTTGGTTAACTATTTAGAGATAATAATTTATATATAATTACAAAATAATTGTAGAAATGAAATTTAAATTAAATAAATAAATAATATTGATTGTTATAAATTTAGAAAGCTTTGTATGTTGTGTAAAATTTGGTTAATTTTAGTATTGGCTGAATATTTTTTGTACAAAATCTCTTATTATTAAAATAGGGAAAGTCCAGAAGATAGATGGATGTTAGATATGGTAAAACCAGAATATGTGGAGAATCCTACACTTTTACAAGAAAAATGTAAGTCATTTTTTATATACCACCCATCATTTTGGTCATTAGTTTATTTATTTTGATTTAAAATCATTTTATTTTGGGTTATTTATATTAAGTTCCTTTGAAAAAAGTAACTGAGAAAAACATTCGTGAACAAGAAGAAAAACTAAAGGCTATTAAAGCTGAAACGTAAGTGTGCTATTTATATTATAATTTTTCATTTATACTAATTTAGCATTTCCATTTTCTTTTATTTTAAATTATATATTAATTATATAATAGATCATTTAATAAAAATCCAAGAATCGCTGTTAATAAATCTCAATTGCGTTCAAAGAATGATAAAGAAGATAGTGATTCTGATATAGAATTTGTTGATATTAAACCCAGTACTGAATCTAGACCAAGGTCTCGTGTACCAAGTAATGTTTTATATTAAACCCTTCTTAAGTCAACTTTTTACATCTATAAAAATTATTTACAGGTAGAGATTCTAAAGATAGAAGACATAGGTCACCACCTAGAAGACATCGCCGTTCTAGGAGTCCTCATCGTCGTAAATCACCCTCTCGTTCAAAAACCCCTATAATTGTAAGACAAAGGTCTCGTTCACATTCTCCTGGACGTTCTCGTTCAAGATCTCATTCACCTTACTACAATCGTAATAAATATTCTAACCATAGGTAATTAAATATTACAAGTAGTAAACTTATTTTTATTATTATGTATACTGTATTTTTTTTCATCAGAAGACGATACAGAAGCAAGGATAGAGATGAAACATACAGAAGACAAATTTCTCCACCGCCAACTGTTCATCCTATGCACTCCATATCAGGTTATGTCACAGCACATCATTCACACCCTCCTAGAATGTATTATCCTTCACCTTATATGTCCTTTCCAAGGCCATATATGAGATTCACTCCTGGTAGACCTAGATTTTATTCTTCAGAAATGTATTCAACTGAATATCAACCACAAAAAGAAAGGTTAGAATTTTTTTGGTTGTAGTATAAATTAATTTTACAGGAAGTCTAATTTTTTAGGAGTATGAGTAAAAGAAAAAGATTGCTACAAGAATACGAAAAAGCTGTGGAAGATATGAAAATTGAAATGGAAAAAAAATTAAGCTATCATGAAAAGAATCCTGAAAATCATCCATTATATTCTGATGAATGGAAAAAATTTTGGAATCGGCGTTTTAAAGAATTACAAATGGAAGGTAAAGATACAAATTCATATGATTTTAAACCAGAATGGATTCTTTCATGGAGTAAACGAATGCAAGAAATTCACGAAGAAGAAATTAATGAAAAAATAGAAAAATTAAAAAATAAAATACTTGGTGATTTTGATATGGACAAGAGCTCTTCAGAATCACCATCCAGAGATTCTTCTCCTTTAAAAGATAAAAAAAACATAACAGACATGAAAAATTCATGGCATAGTAATCAAACACCGGAATTGATGGAAAAAAATTCTGATATAATTAGTAAACCTATTTACGATAAGAAACCTAAAGTTGCTGGTGCATCTCCAATTAATTCTGACTCTGAAGACTCAATTAATGAAATTAATGATCATAATAAACCCAGAGAAAAAATAAAAATTGAAAATCCATTAAATGTCATAACTGTGCTAAGGCAGTTAAGTGTATTGGAAAATCAATTAGGCTTATTGGCACCTAAAATAGTTGAATTATTATCAAAAGGTCTTGTTATGGAAAAAATTGAACCTAAATCGTCTATTAAATTGCTTACTCCTGAAAATTGTGTGATGTTTGAAACAGTAAAAGAAAAACTTAAAGGACAATTGTTAGCAGGTGTTGTTAAAAGAAGTTTAGTAAATGCTACTATGTTTTCTATTCGTAACATAGAAAAACTAATGAAATTGGCACCTAAGTTTGTACTCTCAACAAGCATGTTGAATTCCACATCTATATCCACCTCTATACCTACACCGACAACCACACCAGCACCTGCAGCTACACCAACACCTGCAGCTATACCAATACCTGCAGCTACACCAATCATAGTGCCAGGAGTTGGTGTTCTTGATAAAATGGCAATTGCTCAGCATATAACTCAGGCATTACTAGCACAAGGAAAAGTTGATGTAACACAAGAAGAATTGGAGACTCTAATAAATGCCGTTGTGGGTATGGCGCAGTCTGGAGATAATATTCAAGGTGCCAAAAACTTGTTGTCAAATATAAATAATAGAGAAGTGTTAAAAACGGCATGTAATGAAATAAATAAGAAGGAAGAAGTCGAAAAAAAAAACTTGGATCAATTATCTCAGGGTGATATAATAAATTTGCTGAAAAATTTTAGAGATTTAACTACTGATGAACAAGATGGACTTATAACTTATCTAAAAGATCTTTGGGAAAAGAATCCAGATGATGTGAGAAAATTCAGAAAGTACATTGATATGGGACCCTCTAACTTAAAAGAAGTTACGTCATTGTTTAGAGAAGATGAAGATGATGATAACTATGAGTTATCGGATGTGTGTAAAGCTGTTAAAGAAAAAGTAAGTGAACAAAAAGATGAAGAACTAAATAAAAGTTTTAATTTTGAGATAACTGAAGAGCAAAAGAAACTTTTAAATAGTCTACACAATTTTTTACCGGAAATAAAATCTGATTATAGTTTGCAACCTACAAACACTCAGATAGAACCACTTTCTGACCAATCATTTTATAAAAACCCTAAAGAACTCTTTACTGCTTCATATTCTCTAGATCCCTATTCAGCTCAAAAAACTGACCCTGACATTTACTCTTCAAAGCCTTCGACATCTGCAACATTTTCACCTTCTCAAGAGCAATCTGATAAATATGATATATCTCCAGAGCAGTCCAATAAATATATAACTAAAGAACATTCTAATAAATATAATACAGTACAAGATCAGGTTGATAAATACAATATGCCTCAAGAGCAGCCTAACAAATACAATACACCACAAGAGCAGACCAGTATATATAATTCTTCTGAAGAACAACCTAATGATTTTAACAATTCTCAAGAAAAACCTGATCCATATTCAGTTAATCAAGATAATGCTTATAATGATCCTTACTCTCAAAACCACGGTAACAATTATTATCAAAGACAGCAATCGGATTCATATTATAAATATCAGAAAAATGCTACAGTTTCTTCGTACCCATCATCTAGGGGCTATTATAAAGGCAATAATACCTATAGAGGTAACAACACTTATCCTGACACGTTTCAGGGAACGCCTAAAGAAAATAATAAAAATAATAGATTTGGTAATTCTCAAAATAATCGTTTTCAGAACAGACATTAATTAAATATACTTTGATATTCAATAAATATATATATTTTATAAGTGAGTTTATATTTTTTAATTTTATTCAGATTACATGTAATGCATGACTACAACTAACCTAAAACAACAAGTCTTTAAGTATTTTATTATGTACAGATTATGATTTTTAAAATATCAGATGGTGTAACATTTCCTTTATAAAAAAATTATTCATTGTATTTATTTTTGTGTTTATTTTAGATAACTAGTGTAGACAATTTATTATAATAGTTAAAATCTATAATAGTTAATATTTTTTACATCAAGTATGAAAAATGCGTTTAATATACAATTACACTTTTACTTACAGTGTAAAATTGTTTATGTTTATAATTTTATTATATTCATATAGTATTATGTATATATTTATTGTATTGTGATACAATTAAAATTTATTTCCGATCACTTTTTGCCATAAAAATTTATCAACCAAATAACTCTATAAACTTTAAGATTTATTTGTCCTCCACAAAATATTAGTTACGTGTAAACTGTACAATTATATATAGCCCAATTACTTTATGATTCTCAATTCTTTTTAGCATTATTGATCGATAAATCAATATCAAAATTTAATATATTGTATGAATATTAATGATGTTTTGGAAATGTCTTACCTAACAATAATAAATACATTATTTACTAAATTTTAATCATAGAGTATAAATGGAAACGTGGTGTACTGATGTGGCACAGAGATCAGCCGCAGTTGCTTATTTAGCCTCCATACTATGATTAATTTATATTAATCTTTGGTAATGCTATAGCTATACTTATTGTTCCTTGATCTTGCCGTTCCTAAATAGTTGAGACCGCCTGGTAGCTTATATTATACCATGTTCCTGTATTAATGCATTATGTGTTCCGAATAATCAAAAGTATTGTTTATGGTAAATTGGACTTCAGGTTATTAACATTTCAATAACATCGGTTTTTGTAAATATGTTTAATGCACTGCAGTTAAACACTCGCCCTATACCATGATATGTTAATAGTTAAATGTTAGTTAACCTCTTAGCGGCTGCTTTAATGTGTTAATTTGCATTCATTTTATTGAATTCTCGAAATACATTCGTACGAAAACACAATTGGATAAAATTATTATCGATTTTCTGTTATATCGAAAATGTGTACATTTATTTTGTTGAAACTATGTGAACTAAATTTAAACTAGTTACCTACTTAAATAAATAGGTACTAAACGCGTCCTCTATAACTATATTGTGTTAAAACTAACTTTGTAGAAGTTTAAATGTATGTGAAAAATAACCAAGTTGTATTGGTTGTAGTATGTACTTAGTAATTAGTACGGAAAGAACGATGAACTTTTTTACGTTGTACAATATTAATTGAATACCAATGTCGGGACAAATATTTGGAAAAATTCAAATTGCAAAATAAAAATATTCTCAATTATTCATAATATTCGGATGTCTAAATATTACGAATAATCGGACATCCAATTATACCTTCTTACGTGGAAATAAAGATCAAAGTCAAATTACTAAAAACAATAGATATGGATATATTATTTGGCAAAACTGACAATTCATATGATGAATTTCATCAGTATATTGATGAAATTCAGAATAATCAAAATCTAGATCCATGCATGTGGTGGAAATATGAAACAATATATCATTGTATCATATAATATCATATAACAATTGTAAAGCTCGCCAAAAATATTTTATACATACCTGCATCATCAGTATTTTTAGAAGTTTTTGCTACTGCCGGTATATTGTTACATCAAAACGCTATAGATTAAATGAGAAAAATGTTTCCACTCTGGATTTCTTAAAGAAAAATAATATTATTTAAGATTTAAGAAGCTTATTTTTTAACTAATAATGTTGTATTTTATTATTTAAATAATTATTATCTGTATATTGTTATGTATTTTATATGAACTATATAATTTATATTTTGTTAATACCTACAACTATATTTACGGGATTAATATTTCTTTTAATATGTGCATAACCATTTATATCCCAAATATTCTTGATTAAATTTTATAAATACTCAATTTATAAAAAAATCGTGAATAGTAGATACATGTGTATGTTACGTATAATGTCCGATTATATTCAGTGGTGGACTAGCCCGTGGCGCTATAGTGTCATCGCACCCCGGGCAACAACCAAAAAATATTAAATAAAAATTAGAATCACAAAATAAATGTTATGTTCTGTAAATGTATTACTACACTGACGGTTTTTGTCGTTCGTCGGATTGGTTTTTTACGTTTTATCAACGTGATTTTACCGTTCCCGTATTAAACACACATGTTTTGGGTAGTCTTGACGTATATTATTATTACTATTTTTACTTCTTATTATTATTTTAACATTATTATATACATTATGGTGTTATAAAAACCCACCAATATTTATATTGACATATTTTGTTCATTTCAATACCTCTTTATAAACAATATTTTTGGTACTGCCTTTTAGGGCTACGTATACGAAGACGCTTATTATTCAAAAATAATAAGTAAAACACCTTGTGTATGCGTAAACGCTAAAGACATCACAACTTCACAGCATGTGCCGAATACTACAATAATAAATAAAACACTTGACTAATAACTTATTAGTTTGTACTACTTATTAGTAATAAATGTACGTGTTTATTTACTATAGTATACATTTGGAAGTACACGTACAACAGTTCGCAAGCCGTGTTGATGTTAATTTAAATGTGATTATGTTTGTGTAATTTTTGTTGTTGTTATCATTTTCGTGCGATGTGTAGCGGTGCGTTGCGTATCCGTAGCCATCGTCGGCGGTGGTGATAAGCCTCCGTGTGCGACCAGCCGGGTACGTAATCGCGCTGTTATCGTCGCGCGTAAATGCCCGTTATTTCCACGTTTTCAAAGGTTTTCGGTTATGTTTTTGTAAAAGTAAAAGTCATGTTCTCAGTGCCACAAAGTTTCATAAGTTCTCGTGTTTTTTGGTTTAGTGTGGTGGCACTGAGGCATTTATCTTCATTTTGTGGTGTCCGGCGGCCCTAGCCTTCGTGGAAAATGTCGCTGGCACCGTCTCTTTTTCTTTTTTCGTGTTCGTCGTGGTGTGCACACCAATTTTTTCTGCTGCTGTTTCGGGCGTTGGTCTACAGCCATCTTCTTCAAACCACGTTTTTCTGTGTTTTTGTTTTGTATCGTGTCGGCTGTTTGGTAAGTGTCGTTCAGCGCAATTTTTATTGCCTTCATTAATTGTCCCATATTCTAGGGTGGTCACTTGCCTACAGCCATTGTGCAAAACGTGGTTTCATCGTGTTTGTTCTTTGTCAGCGCTGTAGACTTCGTTGGTGATTGTGAGTATTGGTCGACCATATTTGTTTCGTTTACTTGTGTAAAGGCCGACGGGCCTAACCGTCGTAGGCAAATTATTATTATAGTATTGTTATTATTTAGTGTGAGCCGTGTGGGCCACATATTTTGAATTATTTATATATTTATTGTATGCCGTGTTGAGCCAACGTGTTCATTATTATTTTAGTGTAGTAGCTGTGCTGCTTTAGGGCCAGCATATTATTATTATTATTTATCATTATTGTTGCGCCGTTGTAGGGCCACATATTTATTTAATTATTTAATTCCGCCAAGGGCATTGTTATTATTATATATGATTGTATATTTATTTATTATTATTGTTGCGCCGTTGTAGGGCCACATATTTATTTAATTATTCAATTATACAGTTTTTATTATTTAATTTATGTTTAATTTATTTTATGGCGAACAAGTATGTTCTATATTATTTAAAACACTTGCCGCGCCAACATTTTGGTGACCTCGACGTGATTTTTATTTATTTTATATATTTTTATTTATTCATTTGTTAGATGTCAATTATTTATTATACATTAATGGCGTATCGTTTGTAGATTATTATATGTAAATTAGTTCCATCACTAGTGCGTCATTTTATATTATTATACAATTGTAAAATCTTCACTCTTCTATCAAGATGGGAGTCAACGACGAACGACTTCCTCCCGAGTTAGCAAAGTTGATCAACAAAAGAGATTCTGCCAAAAGGTCTATGGACTCGATTAAAACATTCATAGACAAGTATGACCCTGCCACTAAATCTCTGAACCAACTTCAAACTAGACTGGACAGTCTAATGCAATACAGGTCCAAATATGAATCCTGTCAAGATGATATTGAAAATCATACAGCAGTAGTTACGGTTGAAATGCTAGATCACAGGACTGGTGTTGATGATTTTTTCTGTTCACTTAAAGCTGAGATTTTAGATATAATTGAGCGCTATTCTAAGGTTCCATTCAACACCTCAAGTACACCATCGCAGCCTATCATTCGGGATTCCATGAAACTGCCATTCATTCCTGCTCCTACCTTTGATGGTGATCTACAAAAATGGGTATCATTCCTTGACGCATTCAATGCTATGTTTCATTACAACCAAGGATTATCTGATGTACAGCGTTTACACTATTTGAAATCTTGTCTGGTCGGTCCGGCTGCGGAAGTAATACGTACCATTCCAACAACTGATGTAAATTATTCCACAGCCTATAATGCTCTAATTGAAAGATATGAGAACAGGTCACTTATTATCCAGTCGCATATACGTTCGTTGTTCCAAACACCGCAAGTGCACAAGCCTGCTGCCAATGAGTTACGGCAACTACATCACCATGTTGTATCACAAGTCAATGCTCTGAAGGCACTTGATCAGCCGGTGGAGCAGTGGGATGCATGGCTGGTAACCTTGTTGTGTTGCAGATTGGACCCAACCACCGTCGGCGAATGGCAACTATTACAGTCAACCAAAAATCTTCCTAAATTTAGTGACTTAGAAAGGTTCTTATCAAATCGTGTGTCAGCCTATGAAGTTGGTGAAGCAGGTAACCAGTCAACCCAGTATAAACATTTGTCTATTGGTACTCGTCCAGTCCAAAAAAGAGTTCTATTTACCAAGCAAACTGATAGTCCACCCTTTAAAGATAGAAAATGTTTGGTGTGTTCTCAGCAGCATCGTGTATCAAGCTGTGACGTATTTAATAAAATGTCTCTGCCTGAGCGCCAAGATATAGTTTTCAAAAACAAGCTATGTTATAATTGTCTATTTCCTGGCCATCAAGTCCGTCAATGCCGTGGTGATAACTGCAATAAATGTGGAAAACGGCACAACACTAAACTACATAACGATGCACCATTGAATTATCATAACCCGGTGGATAAACCGTCATCATCGTCACCGGAACAGTCTATTGTAGCCTACGTCGAACAAGATAACAAGTCCAACGTTATTAAGCAGATCATATTAGCTACTGCCCTAGTTAATTTAGAGAATGCAGTTGGGCAACGAGTTCAGTGTCGTGCAATTCTAGATTCTGGTTCTCAAGTTTGCCTAATAACCAGAGAGTGTACATCCAGACTAAAATTAAATGTTGTCAATAGCTCAATATCTATAGCAGGCATAGGGTCAATCACTACCAAGACGGGCACCATGATTAGTACTACAATGTGTTCCAGAATAAATGGTTTTAAAGCATTTATCAACTTCCATGTCATAAATTCTATCACCAACAGATTGCCCAGTCATTGCATTAACATAGAACCATTAAATATTCCACACACTATTAGTGATTGTTTAGCTGACCCTCATTTTAATGAACCAGCTTCAGTTGATATTTTACTTGGAGCAGAGGTATTTTTTGAGTTATTTAATGGAGAAAAAATGAAAGTTAGTCCGCTTGTTACTCTTCACAACACTAATCTTGGTTGGATTTTCGCCGGATCAATTCCAATTAACACAATGCTATCACCTCCAAATAGTTTATTTTCAAGTAATTGCAATCAATCAGCTATAGCGTTGTTCACCCAGACCTACTCGAATAAGTTCTCATCTGAAATTAAGGCCGAAGATCACTTTAAATGTAATGTGTCTCGTGACAATCTTGGTCGATTTGTTGTAAAATTACCATTCCTTCAAGACCCATCAGTGCTGGGTGATTCAAGATTTATGGCTCAGCAACGATTTTATAATCTTGAGCGCAAACTGTCAAAAAACCCAACACTGGCTGCAGATTATAAAACATTCATGAACGAATATCTTGAATTGGGACACATGGAGTTGGCTCATAAAACTGATGGTCCTACTTATTACCTTCCCCATCATTCTGTATTTAAATCAAACAGTTTAACTACAAAAATGCGTGTTGTTTTTGATGGGTCTGCTGCCACTAAGTCCGGTCATAGTCTCAATGATATATTGTTATGTGGACCGACTGTTCAACCTGAGCTAATATCTATTATCTTAAGATTTCGTATACATAAAGTCGCTCTTACCGCCGATATAGCCAAAATGTACAGGCAGATACGGGTTTCGCCAGAAGATTGTGACATGCAACGAATATGCTATAGGGAAAGCCCTGCTGATCCATTGAAAGACTATAGGCTACTAACAGTAACTTATGGGACTAGGGCCGCTTCCTTCCTAGCCACTAGATGTTTGCTTGAGCTGAGTTACAGCGTCACCAATCATGCAACACAGCGTGCTATCCAACAAGACTTTTATGTTGATGATTTACTGAGTGGTGGTCAAGATGAAGCTGAGTGTTATGAATTATTTCAAAATCTATCAAACGAACTCAACAAGGCCAACCTACCTCTTCGAAAATGGTGCTCCAATTCAAAATTAATAATGTCAAAAATGTCCATTCCTGAAAGTGATCCTACTTACCTGCTGTCAATTAATGAGGAAGATACTGTCAGCACGCTAGGTCTCACTTGGCAGCCAAGTAATGATTGTTTTAAGTTTGTTTTTAAGGATTTGTCAAGGCCGTTGCACATGACTAAAAGGACATTACTCTCTAACATAAATAGTGTATATGATCCGGTGGGATTCCTAACACCAGCCCTGATTCGAGGAAAGATATTCATGCAACATTTGTGGTCTTCAAAGTTAAACTGGGACACACCGTTATCCCCTGATCTGCAAACCAAATGGACAAATTTCTATCAGAGTCTCCAGTCTCTTGAACAACTATCGATTCCACGTCGAGTTCCATTTGATAATGTTACATCAGTGCAATTGCATGGCTTTTGTGACGCATCACAAAATGCCTTTGGTGCCTGTGTCTACTTCCGTTCGC